AGCATCGGTCCAACGACTTCCAGGTATTCGATAAGAAATTGTGGGTCCGCGAGCATGACAGCTCTTCCTTTGAGACATGACATCTGAAACCGTTCAAAAACCATGAGAGCTTGAGAATTTTTTTTTTTTACTTTTTTTACTAGACACTGAAGATAAAAACTAAAAATTGTTCTGCTCACGAACATTTAGGACTTGATGCTCACGAAAATTTACACTTGATTTAAAAAAATTTTCCCAAGAAGAACCAGAATTCGCGCTACTTCATTTTAGACATAGAGTTGATTTTTTTTAAATAAATATTCAAGATTGGAATCCATAGGATTCTTCCCCTTCCAAATGAGTAGGTTGAAAAAAACGGGAGCGCACATCATAGGCAGGAATACATTTTTCAAAAACTTTTATAAATTTAGGTGTGCATTACTGTATACTCATTTTAATTTTATTTTTTTTAGAAAAAAATAATTTTAATGTAAACAGATCAGTTGAATTCATGTTCAATTCATGTCTTATTTAAAACTTGAGTGTTCTTATTTTTGAGTATTATGGTACTAATCTAACACGTATTTGAGTTTACTTTTACATTACAGTACTAGAGGGATTTTTTGGGATTTGGAACTAATCCGCTGATTTCTAGATGGGATCTAGCCCATTCACCGAGTCAACATATTACTTTTTTTCGTTTACACTTCGGAAACGAATTTGAGGAAAAGTTTTCCGTTCAAATTTTCAGACGCAACCTTAGCAAGCCTTTTTACGCTCGTCGCAAGGCATATTGCCAAAAGACAAATTGGTTGGGTCTTCAAGTGAGAAGAACCCTTCTTCCATCCAGCATACCAACAACGACTTATTCTCCTTCAAAGGTTCGTTGAGGACCAGCAACTCCAGAATCGCCTCAAAACGCTTAACCGCCGTCGTCAGTTCCGCGATATCGTGAGAAGAGGGCACAATAATCAGCACACCCGGAGCGCAACCAGGATAAAGACGAAACTTTTTCTTGAGGTCGTAGCCCGCAAGGATAGACATCAAGGACTTCCCACTCCTGGGCGGAGAAACGATCAACACCGGATCCGAAAACAGGTTCTGCCGACTATAGTAATAGCTCAACAAGCAATCCGTTGGATCTATGGAATATCCCATGGGTTCCAGCTGATCGTGGACACCGTCGGCGATTGCCACAGATTCTTTAGGTGAGCTTTCATCATGAGATGGAAGCGACGCTGCTCCGGGGACAGCGAAGACCGAAACGTTCTTCTCAGCGCGCGAGTTCCGCTTGCTGAAGCTGCATCAAAGAGGCAGATAATAATTATGAATACAGTATTGTAACATAATTAATTGGTTGGAAGGAGATCATTTTCAAAAACGTTCCAAGTCAATTTTTGCCGTACACTGAGGAACTGTACTGCATCTGTAATCAGGCAAGGCAGATCTGTAAAATGTAAGCAATCCCCCATCGGTTCTATCCATTTAAATGTTCAGCATGCAAGAGTGAAGAATAAAAATAAATGAAGTAAACGAGAAATCCGGACTTTCAGTCAGCTTCTTCGTACTACATGACTTCCTCCTTGATCTCAAGCACACCGTGGTTTAAAACAATGAAAAATGGGTCATAGCAGAACATTTTAAACGCATTTGCAATACAATGATCGTACATTTTTAAATTTTCACACTTCAAGTTCCTCCGATCCATTATAATATCGCGCACCATAACGGAAGTACGGTACAGTATATTAATTCAAAATCGTAATGAATCGCAAATGGCTGCATCATCTATGAGCTATCCTATTTCCCCCTTTTTTTAAATTTTGGTGAAGCCTTATCAAATTCAATTTTCCAAAATACTGAATATAAACTTTCTTTTCGATGCTTTCTGCAGTGAACGTTGACCAATGTCAAGAGTTGGGCTTCCAAAACACTCAGATGCAATTTCTCACGAAAAGAAAGAACAATCAGCTATTTCTAATTTTTCACAATTTTTCAAGAAAATGCAACAGCTTCCGAGTAATACCTTTGAAACAGAAAATAGGTCTTGAAAATTGAATTCTAGTGCAAACAGAATGAATGAGCCAACTTTCGAAACAAAAAAGATAATTGACAAAAATGACAGCAGAACTTGTATTATACGCAAGAAATTATGGGATGCAGAAGTCAAAAATTTTCCTAATTTTATCCCTGTTTCAGGAGCAGATACATTCATACATTTTTTTCAAGTCTACGCTAAAACCAGTTTTCGTTTTAAAATTATCCTTCCGTAACAAATTACGGTAGATTTACTAACAAAGTGTCAACTTTTGAAGCTCATGAGAAGAGAAAACACTTGTCTGAAAAACTCACCTGGCTCTTTCCGTCATTGTTCTGCCAGGATCAAATACCACTCAATTCTGTTTCCTGTGGAAATAACCAATAGTGTTCCTAAAATGTTATGGGAATGCACTCTCGAAATATAATTTTTTTAAATGGCCACACAATCTACAGAAAGGTCTTTAAAAATCTAAAATAGGAAGCACGCAGCATTCGCCTAATCCCGAAGCTCTGGAAGAGGTTCGA